GTTCCAGCACTTAACGGTCGGTTTCTTATCACCAATATTCCGTCTCAAGGCGTTGAGTTGTCTAGTTAAATCGTCTAGACGAGCAGTGACTTGATTCCTCTGGCTGCTGGACTTGAGCAGCTCTCACGGGGTGGCGGTCTCGACGAGTGGCTTGCTGGGCTGCCTCGAATTTCATGGCGTACAACTAAGCACTTTTTCAAATCTTTAACATCCGCCATTCGTAGAGCCTTCTGTATTTCGGGATCCCGGATGCCATCGATAAAGTACTGCAGGGACAGGATTTCCCTCGTTTCTCTCGGGCACTCCGTAAAGGCGAGGTGGGACAGCTTTTCAACATCCGTGGCGAGTTCCTGGAGTGATTCGGTGGGCTTCTGTTGACGGGATTTTAATTGAAGCCTGCTGTAGTCTTTTAAACACATTTCTCGCCAAAGCGCAGTTCCAATGCGCCGGATAGAGCTTCGAAGTCAAGTCTTTGGTTTTTTCTGGAAGCGTCTGCAGGATATCCGCTGCGTCTGCTCTCAGAGAAGCGGCGAGATGACAGGCCTTAGTTTGGGAATCCCATCCATTCGCATCCTAAACGATAGAAAATTGTGTTTTATACACTTGCCAGGATGTCTTCCCATCATATGTGGATATCTTCAGAGATGGACGAGCAGGCATCGGTAAGAATTTAAAACCCTCAGAATTGCTTGCTTCCTTCGTCGCTATGCTCTTCTTTAAAGTGTCAACTTCTTTCGCAACGAGCAGCTGAAACCCTATCCTCAATTTGTTGTTGGACGGCAGAAACTCTTTTTTTCAATTTTGCTTCTATACCGCAGAAACTCTTTCTTGAATTTCTCCCATTTTGTCTTCAACTTGTTTCCATTCTGCCTTCCATAGCATCGAATTTGTTTTTCTATTATGCAGGTAATTTCTCTTTCATTCCTCTTGACTACTTTCATTTCCTCCTTAATGATTCCTAGCAATTTCATTTCTTCTTTAAACCGGATTTCCTGACCAACTTGAATTTCCTTTTTTTCTTCCTTAACGGATTCCTGTCCCGCTTCATTCTTTCTTAACGGACCTAATTTTCTGTTTCTCTTAACAGAGTTCTTTCATTTCTTCTTCTTTCAACGTAGGCAAAGGCTGACCATCAACTGTTTTAACTGTTCTTCCATCGCTCTTGTGATTGGCATTCAAATCCCACTCCTGACACCAAAAATTGTTGCGTGCGTACGAGTTCGTTATGAAATGAATGCACAAGTCCGATGAAAAATGAACAAAAATTTATTATTATCACCACAACAAAAATGCTTAAATTTTCTCAAATTATCATGCAGTATTACAATATCTCACAGTAGTTATCTTTTTAACTACTCAAATGTCCAATAGAACGTAATTCAAAACAGCTAAAGAACGCTAATCCGCGAATTCGCTACAATCAACAAGAGCAGTTTTCTAAACAACAACAAACTAAGCAACTACTACGAAACTGAGATGTTTTCCTCCTTTTATAAGATTTTAAAATCACGCGCTACTAGAATTTTCCAGTACTTTCTCGAAATCAAAAAGAGATATTTATTTATTTAATGCACGCGCTCTTGTATTTTCAATTTTCCGGCTTAGCTTTCTTTTAATATTCGTCACTCGCTGCACTGCGCGAGAAATAAAACCATTTAATTTATAATTGAACTAACATTAGCTTTTTAAATACCAGATTCGTAACATTATTTATTTTTCTTGTTAATGATCTTTCAGTCCACCCTGAAGAATTATTACTGCATATAAGGTTACAAGTTGCATGCATAGTATTGGAAAGTAAGAAGTTATACGAGCCATCCGAAATGTGAATTCTTGGCCATACATCTTTGGAGCTATCAAGGCTTTCCGGAATGTAAGCAAAGTTAGTCTTTCTAGATTCGTACGGGCTCTTAAAATGATTCTCCGTCCTTTTGTTAACTACTTACAAAATTTAAATATTTAATACTTTTCTTTTTCCTTCTAAAGATAAACTTTCTGCTTCTGAAAATGGTTTAGTTTACGATAGAAATGTTTCTTCCTTTTTCACCAGGTGTCGAAGCCTATTTAGAAATTCCTGCCAAATTATCTTGAACCGCCTATTTCTCATACTATACTCAGGGAGGTTGAATGGCTTCACTCTACCGAGGAGAAAGTTCTTTTGTGTTTCACTAGTTTGTTATCTGAAAATTAAATAACTAGTTTGTTATCTGAAAATAAAAAGTCGGTATCGTAAAGACACGATTTGAAAAGAGTAGTAGCTCCCATTGCTGTTCCAGCTGAAAGGACTGGAAGTGCATTCCTTTTCAAGTGAACTTTGCTTTTCCTGATACAACCTCTGAGCTGGAGAGAGTGTGACCAATTAGGCCATAAATCTTCTCTTTGCATTTTCACCGCATTATGGAAGTTTGGAAAACAAGAAGCGACGAGTCTCACTCAGAGGCCACTATCTAGGCCACATTTAACCTGGACGAGTTATAACATATTTCTACCGACTTCTTATCATGCCTTCGTGGTGTAATGATTAGCACGCTCGGTGCGTATTCGAGAGGTCCGAGGTTCGATTCCCAGCGAGGGCAATGCATAATTTTCATCTCTCCTGCTTCGAAATAACCTAATATCTCTACAGTGGCGCCAGAACTAAAAACGGTGGTGGAAGATGATTCTCCATCACCAGGATTTGGCGATAAGGTCCCTTAATTCCCAGTCGCCCTTTAAAAGGGGGAGTATATAAGGTATTTCTCCCACCTTCTTAGCACGCCTTCGTAGGGTAGTGGTCAGCACGCTCGGCGCGTGTTCGAGAGATCCGTGGTTCGAGTCCCAGCGAGGGCACTGCACATTTTTCACATCTCATGCTTCAAAATAACCTAATAACTCTACAAAGTGTGTCTCGTTTGTGATGCTTGATGACATTTTTGAGATCGTTGAGTCTGTCTCCGGGGAAATGGCGAAGTGATTAACGTACCTTCACTTAGATCCTCTAATAATGTTTTAGAAAGTTATTGCTGAATAACAGCTCCAGAACCTTCATTAAAGAGTCTGCATCTGTTTGTTTTTCGTCTAGAAGTATTTGTATATGTTTGCGGCTTCTTCTAACACGATGTGGTCACATGTAACAGTTTGGCGACGAAGTCTGACTGAATCAACTGCGATATTATTTCAGACTGTTTCATGTACACGTCATAATTTCCCATCAAATGACTACGGTTTAGTAATGGGACGATAAGATTGAGATAGAGCATTATTTATAGCAGGTTTCAGAATTTGCTAAGCTTTTCCTGCTTTTTCCCCTAATATTTATAATCTGTGAGAACTTCTTGACTGAAAGAAGTGATTTCTTGATTAACGAAAGTTTTTTATATTCCTAATTTCTTCACTAGCTCAGACATTTACACTTTTTAGCTGTTTTCCAGATTTCTGTTGTACAACGACCATTTTCTTATTCAGAGAGTTTATAACATTTTTATTTAATGCACTCTTATTCTCTTTCGCTTCCTACGGGAAACTGCGCTAGCAGTCATTCTGGTATGTGCTTCAACAGAGTCCCTCTTTTCGGAAAGAGAAAAGGCAGTTGATTCAGCATTCCTGAGTCCCCTTTCCTGATCTCAGAAGTCTCTTCCCTTCAAGTAGCAGTCGTGTTCATTTCAATCACAATTGCGCCTCCACCATTCTAGTGAAAGACACTCAAAGAGATCCACACTGATGACGTAACAGCAATTGTTACGGTCTCGTAAGGATCTTTTGATTAATACTTAACTGCAGCTGACAATAGATGCTTTTGGAGGGATAGTACTGAAATTCTTCTTAACAAAGGAAGAATATATAATCGGCTAATTATATAGGAAGAATAATAACAAAGCCCCTCACAAAGCATAAGCTAAATTTTGTGAGTATTTAAACGCAATACCAGCCTAATTTTTGAACTGTCTAAGCAGAATTCTGATCTGTCTCAGCAGACTAATTCTGGGGTCACTCACGGCTCTTCGCAGCCGTTTATTTAAATCACGGCCAAAGTAGGGAGCGATGGCACTACCGTAACCTTCTAGAAAAATAGGCCCTAGACCTTAAAAATATATTTTTAGATATTTCCAAACTGTCACCTAATTGGTGAAAAATCGTCATCATACCGCCAAGACTCGTCTAGTCGTCAACGATCTATATTTCCTATTCTTCTTAAGTTATTTTCATAGTTTCGACGCCTATTAATCAAGATAAACAAGTACTACAAAATAATAAAGCATTTAAATCCACAAAAATAAAGTCAGTGCGCACAAATTAAAAGTTAAGCAAAATTCACAACAAATAAACATCAAATTACCATAAAAATATTCAAGTAAATAGAAATAAACGCAAGATAATACAAAATGAAAACGTACCACAGCAAACAAAAAACCAATAAACACAAATATTTGCATGAAAATATATAGCAATGTAAAAATGTACTATGTATATACACATTGTATATACATTTTTCATTTGCTCATATTTTTATTTTGTCCCGATTTTGCTCAACTTATAGCTCTGAGTATTTGCAGCATTTAAAGCATTTGTTAGACAAGAAAGTCAGTACATTAACAGGAATATTAAAATTGCTGTTACATTTGAGGAGTGAGACTTTAGCTTTGAAATTAACACCAATGTTAGATTAAATTTTGTTGGGTTATAAACATGAAATTTGCTTTTATAATGATAAATACAAAACTTTTACTTAATTCATTGAATAACGAATCGCTGGATAGTTTACTCTGAGTTTAGAAGACCTTAACGAAATCTTTAACTAGCTCAAGATAACTTTGATATTGCTAATGGGCTGTGTCACATATACCCTATAAATTATCCTCTGTGATTAAAAGTATGTTTTGTGTTTTTCCAAGTAATGTATTTCGTGGCTTACGAAGGTATTCGTGCTATATTTGAAAACAGAAATTAAAATTTCAAGTGACATAGACTAAATACAGGCTGATATTCCTGAAAATATGGCCTCAATATCTTAAAGTTTTCACCTGGTTCTGGTAGAACTATAGCTGCACATATAGCATTTAGAATCGTCAATACTCCTATGCCGTAAAAAGGTACGCTAAAATTGAGAACCTAAAAGAAAATAGAAAATATTATTAATGCTTAAAGACAAAAAAATTAGATTCTTTTAATAGTATATATATCGTATTTACTCGCGTAATATTCGCCGCCACGTAATAGTCGCACTGTGGTTTTGAAGCAGAAAAAATCGTCAAAAGTGTACATTAAATTGTGTCGTAGATTTCCCCGCATAATACTCGCATCTAGACTTTCACAATGAAAAATTGGCAAAAGAAGTGCGACTATTACTCGAGCAAACACGGTAAATGCAAATCCTTGTAATAAACAGAATACAGATTATCTTTGAGCTAATTGTTATCACAAAGTACAGTAATTTCTTCAAGCTTAGGTTATTGGCTTGTGTGAATTACTGAAAATCTCTTAGATTTCCAAACAACAAGAATTTCATTTATAAGAAAAATTATTTCAGTGAGGAAAAATACTTACTTTTTATGAGTAATCTGTTAGCGGTAATTATTTATATGTTATTTAGCAATTAAAATTTTACAAAGTGTGATTCATTCATCTGTCTTTTTCCAAATTCAAGCTTATCATTTTTCTTCTAATCTAACTGTATATATAGTATATACAGATTAAAAAATGAAGGTTAAACATTAAAATGCAATGATATTATGGATTAGTGAAGAAATGAACTTCGAATAAAAATATAAAACACGAAAATGGGCTTAGAAACAGAGGAGGAAACTCCATCTTTCACTTGTAGGTACTCGATCGATCCGACATGTACCTCCCCCTCCTACCTGAAGGTTTCATTCCTACGCATTTTATGTGTTCCGTTTCCGCCATTTTCATCTTAAGTTTACTTCTCCTTTGATCCACAGCATCATCACACATGACATAAAATCTTCAGTTCATAATATCATCACATACCTGATCTTTTAAACTTCCCATCTACCCTTAAGTTAGATTCTAGCTTTCAGCGGAATTAGGAATAAATATACAAAAAGAGAGAAAAATCTTTAAATTTAGCTCTTCTTTTTCATTCCTTTTTACACAACAACAACTCAGTTTGGAATTTTGTGCCTGAAAAGAAAATTACAGGAAAAAAAAGATCGTGGTCTTCTTCAAGGTCCTTAAAAAATGAAGTTAAATTTGATTTATAAGTATTAATTTTATTACCCTTGGGTCATCATTTCCAATATTTACTTCCTTTGCACTTGATTGCCCTTTCAATTAAACAGCTTTAATAAACACAGTGATATCTCTGAAGATCTCTTCTATTCAGCTTGGATATTTGATATAATTATTTAAAAGACAATAATTGTTTTAGAGCTATAGGCTAAACAATGCTACATGTTTAAAAATTCCTTATTTTTGCGTTTATTGTAACAATTTACTGTAGTTTGTCATGCATTTTCTGAAATTTTTGTAACTGATTTGTTAAAAAAAAATTGGAACAGTAATTTGTATAGGAATTTAGCTATTTCCCATGCAAAACTGAAATCAGTTCATAATATCTTACTGTTACTTAGAAACACCTATACATGAAAATTTTTTTAATCTACAGTGTTTAGTTTAAGAGATATGCAGCTTATAAATCAAAAGCAAAGTGATGAAACTTATATTAAAAATAAAATAAAAAATAAAAAAATAAAATAAAGAAGAAGAAGAAGAGAGGGAGTGGGTAGAGAAAACACTGCAAAGTTACACAAGTGATGTAAAGAAAATGCAAAGTTAATGCAGTGAAAAGTACTTTAAATGAGTATAATACTCACATCCGCTAGAGGTTTCCCACATATAGGTCCAATAATAATACCTAAAATTAGAAATTCTTGCATTCCTGTCTGAATAAACGAAATAAACAAAAATTATGTTGACATTTACTTATTTTAAGTAATGCTAAATAATAATACAATGTTGCAATTACAGTTTGACAATAATAATGAATATTCATTAATATATATTTGATTTACAAACTATTGCTAAGAATAACGCATTCAAGAACATTAATATTTGAAGTTAAATAATCATTTGCCCTTTTTTTTAAATTCAGTTTAAAATATGCACATTAAAAGAAATTAAACCCTAAGAAGATTCGAAGAATGTTAAAATATTAATATTAACGCTAAATCTTTTTTTTTTATTTAAAATTCAAACGAGTTAGTTGAATGTTAAAAAATCAGTAAAAATTACTTTGCTTCCCCTCCTCCAAATCCTTAAAATATGTTTAAAATTGAAGAGACCATTAAACATTTCGAAATGGGAAACGTGAACAGTCAGCTGTGCGCTCGCCGGAGCTCAAACCGCTATGGCAGTCACTATTTCAGATGGCACCCGGACCCGCTAAACACTTACACCTCGAAAACACACACGCGATAACTCCTTATATGAAATACGATAATTTCTTATAAAGTAACCAGGAAATCTAAAATCTGCTCATAAAACAAATTTTATTAAATTATTGCATAAAAAGTGTAAATATTTTTCCTTTCTGTTTTTGTACTATACTGATTAATCTAAGGAGTGGGAATTTGAAACTATGAAGAGTTTTCTTTAAATGCTTCGAAACTAACGTTACATTCTAATGTATAATAACTGCTTTTCATTTCATTTGATGCACAAACATACCATTATCTCTTCTGCTGAATTTTTCATACAACAAGTGTACCATATTGAACCGCCCACCCAACAGTAAGATTAATTGTGAATTTTTTTCTTCTTTATGACCATTTTCATTGTTAACGTCTTGTGTCTGTATAATATGCACACGTATAAGATAAAGGTCTTTGCCACGTTCATAGCTGTTTTTCCCCATGATTTATTAGATTCTTTTCTACAGTAACCGCTGTGATACAACTTACAACACAATAAATAAACAAATAAATAAAATTAAAAAAAATTTAAACAAAACCAATCAAATAAAAAATAAAATCTGAAAGCTTTCAGATTTTACATTACGCCCAAAGAGGCTTTTTTTTAACGTTCTGTGTGCTACCTTTATTTATTAAATATCAAGTTCTTCGCACTTAAACCATAAAATCCAATTCAGCAACAATGTCGCTTGAGCATATGTTTAGAATTTCCGATACACAATCTGGCGCGCTGGAAATAAAAACTTTTCTTTTCGTACAGTATTGCCATTGCTCGCTTTGAAATCGTTCAGTTTGTTAATAAAAAATTCGTTAAAGTGTTACAAACATTTATAGAGAACTAACGCAAAATGCCAAAACGAAATTAATAGCCCTTCTGGGCTAACGCCCTATGGGCTAAAAAAAAAAAAAGGAGGACACATCTATACATTCCGTTCTACAGGGCCGATTGATGGCATTTAATTTGCGTTTCTTCATGTCTCGAAAGCGAGACTTAAGGATGTATATTAGATTTATATATAGCATTATTCTAACATAAATATTTTGACACAAAATTGGACACTTTTTTAAACGAAATACCATTTTTTCCCATATTTCGAATTTATTATGCCAAAGTGCCAAGTTTTGTTAAAAATCGCATGACCAGTTTTTAAAAAATTAGCTTTCAAAACTTTAGCTCAATGTTCATTGAATTGTTGCTTTCAATGTTCATTGAATTTGGTATATATTTATTGATATCTCTTTTTTTTTTTTATTTAACTTACTTGATTAATTTTTTCTCAATTTGAAATTTAGTTTCAATCCAACTAAAATTCGCAGAATTTGCAAAATTTATAATTGTTATAAATTAATTTATAATTTTTATAAATTTTCAAAAACATTTTTGAATTATAACCTATACACTTTTTATCATCATTTTGAAGTAGATTGATTTCTAGGCATATCTACAAACAATTTCCCAAGATACACGTGAATTTATATATAGGCACGTTCTGAATTTTGGCATATTTGATATAAGCGAGAGTAACGCCAAACGTGGCTTACTCACTTTGCCAAAACTGTTTGAAAGAAGAAAAGAGGGACCTTGCTTTTCGCTCGTGCACAACGAAGAGAAAGGAAAATAGGTTACTATAAATTAAGAATTTCGCCAATTCTTGGCATGCTCTGGCATGTTGCTTAGCCGCATCCAGATGGCCAAGTGCGAGTTTCTCTGCTTATCCAATAGGTGGCGCTGTATTCTAACTTAACAGCTAGTAAAAGGTTTCTTTGCAGAGTTTTGTTTAATTTCCTTTTTACACTACACCTGGAAACATTAATTAAACAGCTCATCTACAAATTTTGCAACCGAGAAGATCCTTCAAGGAAAAACTAATAAAACTTCGGCCATTTCGTATTGTACTTTCCCTTGATCTTCTTTTTCTGTGCTGATCTTCCAAATTTAATTTGAATTGAATTTATTAATGAATATAATAACTATCGAATAATAGCAACAAGATTTCATAGCAAAGTAATGGCAAGATAATCCTTCATCATGCAGTGCAATAATGTTAGCAAATTTCGTTTGAAAATGCAAATCTTTAAACTAACACTGAAGAAATTCAAAAATGCAGCAGAGAATTTTCAACGCAAAAAATTTTAAAGCAACTAATAATCCGTCTCTAACAGGCATAATTCTGATGTCATAAAGAACCACAATGGTGGAAAAGTAATTAAACATTTTATTGAATAACTCTGCTTTTTATGAGCCATTTTTTTCTTTCATAATTTTTCAAGTACTACTCTTATTTTAAAACGGTTAAAACTTTTGAATATTATATAAAAAAATAATAAATTTATATAGAAATTTTACATAATTTTATACAAATTCTCTAAAGGGAGGTATAATTTATTAAATCTGGAATTGAAGTAAATTTTGAAAATATGATTATATGCTCAGAATACATATCTTTAACAGATGCTGCAGAACTTTTACATTAAGCTGCAGTTTAAGTAAAAATCATTTGTGTATTGATTGGAGTGGAATGTATTATTTGATTTAGGCAAATAACACTTTGGCTATGAAAATACTTATGAGACTTATTAATTATGAAAATTATTAATTACGAAATAAATGCTCATTTATCTTCTATTTAAAAGCCTATTGAGGAGTACAAATGATATCATTTTTACAAATTTTACATCTCTCTGTTCAGCTAAGAACGTCATGTACTTTTACTATCTTGTACGAAAAAAAGGAAGTATTGTGATCCAGAAAAATTTCGGATATCATATTTCAGTGGAAATATCCCTTTTGACCGTTTCCAAACCCATTTTGACTTTTTTTTTGCGTGACTTCCGTACGTAGGGACAGAATAAAGGTGTCTTTTTCCAAAACGGGTTCTAAAATTGATTCAAAAGGGATTCTTTTTGTTACGTCTGTACATACGTATGCATGTATCTTGCATAATTCAAAAATGATTCGCCGTAGAACGTTGAAATTTTGTATTTGGGACTGCTATAACATCTGGTTATGCACCTCCCTTTTTCATTGCAATCAGCAACTCTATATGTATATATATATTATAATATAAAATTGTATGCAAGCGTACATGCATAGTATAAACGTATATATACGTTTACGCACACACACATTTTGATATTTGAAGTATCTCTCTCTCTCTCTCTCTCTCTATATATATATATATATGCATGTGTGTGTGAAAAATATAAAATAAGAAAATAAATCCCTAATAATAACATAATTAGCAATAGCTCTTTAAATTTCTTTTTTATATTTTTATATGTCCCTCTCCTAGCATCTGGAAAACATCAAAATTTCTCTCGACTGCGTCATTTCTGGATCAGTTCATACATACATGTGACTTAATAAGGCTCATGACATAACTAATTCGGAACTTAAACCGAAACTTTCTCTGTGTGAGCTTACTTGCTGGGTAATTGCGTACTTTCCTTCTTACCTCTGTTATCGCCAAGACTCTGCCTCGCTGCTCTCTTTCTACCGCAACAGGATGAAAAATGTAAATATTCTTGAATAGGCACGATTAGAATGCCAAGTGAATTCTGGCCGCAAATGTCAGTTAAAATAAGGATGAATATTTAATATGCCTCGACTACACAGTTCATTACGGATTCATCATTTTACACTCTACGCCATCAATATTGCTACTTTTTTTTTTTCCATTATATATACCCACTCCTTACACGGCCTTTGTTTTGGCAGTCGTTGGTCGTAGTCATGTACTTCCAGTTATAGAAGTGTTTTAAATGACGAAAATCTTCATATTTTGGCAATGTCAAATTAAAAAAAAAAGTAATTTTCGAGAAATTACGAAATATAACTTTTAATGCTGTCATATACAGCATTAAAACTATACTTATATTACTTACTATACTTATATTTGAGAGAGTTTTACATCCGTTATGAAAAAATAACATTATAAGAAGTTTGATTTCCTTACAACAAAAATTGATAGGGATATTTAATTTCAAAATCTGCAAGTTTTGATTTCATTTTCAATTTGCCTTGAGGATTAATTGATTAAATTTGACTAATTTGAGCAAATAAGTTTAAATGAACTGCAGCAAAAATGTACATACTAATTTAATAGGCCATACAAGGAAGTTATGTGGTGTCCACATCAGAAGGTTTTAAATTTATTGAGAAGCAAATAATAAGGATAAATAGCATACGAACTTTAGTTAAAAGGAATAGCATGCAAAATGGCACTACAGGGCTTATTTATTGAAATGTTTTATCACCATAATAAATAGTTTACTCACTCTTTTTCTTTTTGTGCTGTCCTTTTTCTTGGAAAACATTATAACGAAAGTAGAAGCTAGAATAACTGCTGTTCCAAAACCTTCTACTATTTGGATGGAAAAAGATAACGCAGAGTAAAAGGTCCCAGAGGAAATTCTGCTCAAGGTCCTAAATAATAATGAGATAATAATTTACAAACTTTTTCGATATACTTCTTGTTTAACAACTCATACAAATTGCACTTCCCGAAGTTTATATTCTAAAGCAGATTCATAGCTCAGTCATTTCCGTTAGTCATATAGTAAGAAATGCTCTACATTTTTCTTCTTTTTTTAATAGCGAAAAATATGTAAGGCTTTCTTATTGCAAACTTTTCTTCTTCCTATATGACTGAGCCATAAACTTACTTCACAATAAAAAGAAAACGTTTACTAGTTAAAGCCGAGAGTTTTGATTCTGGAAGGAATAAAAATTTAGTTCCTCCAGTATAGAACTGTATTACGTAAAATGTAAGTTATTGCATGACGTAAAGTTTCTAAACTATCAAGGGCTGTTTACCAGCGATTTCAAGCTTTTATAAGAATTTATTTCCCCTCAAATAGTTAGAATATGCAATGGAAACATCACGCTAATAATGAGTATGATATCCACTAGCTGAAATGCGTGTTCAACAGCAGCGAAGCAAGGTGGCAATAGTGTTGTTGATCGCTTATTGTGGCAGTAGCGGCCATTTCTGTCGGAGCTCTTAGAGGGTGCATGGCGGCACATTGCGACCTTCGATCCGTCGTCCCAACATGCCCTACACATGCTCTATTGGAATTCAAATCCAGTGATCTAACAGGCCACCACAGATGTAGAATAGTTTCACTCTCCAGATAACTCCGTACCACTCGAACTCTATGCGGGCGGGCGTTATCGTCCATAATTATCGCGTCGCAAAAATTATTGCAACAATAAAAAGACGCACAAGAGGGTGCAGAATTTCGTCGCGATATCGGACGGCTGTGACAGAACCACCAGAAATCACGTAGAGGTCAGTGTGGCCGTTCGTGTCTATCCCAGTCCTTAAGTAAGCTTCCTTCTCTGTAATGGTCTCTTTCGACGATGCTTGGAATTCAATAGCGTGTCTCTGGCTTTCGCCATATCACTGACCTTCTGGAGCCGTTCTGGATTTTAAATCGAGACTCATTGGTAAAGAGTACATGGCCCCATTGTTCTGGTGTCCAAATGTTACGTTCACTGGCCCAAATCAACTACTCTCTTTCATGCGATGGGGACAAAAAAACAATAAACCACAGGTCGTCGGGCATACAGTCCACCTTCATGCAGCAACTCGATTTGATGGGATATAGGCCGTCCTGCAGCAGCAGAGAGATGCAACGCAAGCTGTAGTGATTTACGCGTTTTCCACACAGCAACAAGAAGCGATCGTCTGCCACTGTGGTAATCCTTAGGCGTCCAACCCATGTCTTATATACGAGTTTTGATTCTTTTGGTAAAGGTTCCACAGCTTATTGATAACACTACGATGCACATTCAGCTCTCTGGCAACAGCGGATTGTCTTGCACCGCTATGCAACGTCCCGACAGCAGTCCAACGCATTTCATCGTGCAAATAGTGTCTTCGGCTCATGATTTTCGCTTTGGTTAGCTCGGATTACCCTGAACTATCGCTGCTTGCGAACTGAAGCATAAGTTCGACATGCCTTTTTTTAAGGCGTTGTGGTGTAACTGCGGATTGCGTTTGATGCTAATTTCGGTTGCCTATTAGCATCCGGCTATGCAACCTCTATCTCATATGTAAATTGTATGTTTTAATTCCCCTTTTTACATTTATACCTTTTCTTTTATCATTTGTTGCTTATTTTTTAAGCATGAGTGTATTATGACTGAGCAAGCTAGACCTGAAGGAAGGAAGACCTTCTCGAAGGTTTTTTTATGGGAAACCGACGTGTATTTATGTATGATGCATGGGGCAAACCTCGAAAAGTCCCACGTAGCCAATCCATTAGCAGGTATTTGAGTCCTGATCGAATTACCAGTGATCAGCAGTTTTACTGCTCCGCCGCTGATAGAACTTTTAAGTAGTTAGAATCAAACTATAACAGGTACAGATATAAGTAAGTGAGTGAGACATCAGGATTTCATCATAGGTTATCCATGTAAAGTCTTACTGCACTAACTGTGCAGCTCCAACCCAATTTTGAGAGAGAACATTCCGGGAGGAGGCCCAAGTGTCTCCCTCTTCCCCTGTAACCAACCACTTGACAGAGCTTTTGGCTCTCGTGTATTTTGAGTGCCTCCTTGCGCCCATACATTGTACACTTACAAACATCCATTCTTTCTCCAGGATTTGAACTCAGACCCATCGGTACGGCAGTCAGCATTACCAACCATTGAGGAATTAGCTTTTCAATTTTGATGTTCATAGCATTATGATTCAGTAATTTTACTTATGGTTCAATAAATGCCGTCTGAGCTGCCAATCAGGCCCCTGGACTGTAGCTGGCTGATAGTAAAAACTCCTGATGAGATCGCGTTCCAATTACGCATGGTTATTTTATATACCTGTACCGGAAGCCAACTCGGTTTACGTCACTAAATACTATTCTGTCTGGGCGTTGTATTGGTTAAAAGTTCAAGTCCGTCTATGACTAGGTTGACACCACATGATCTTAAAGGATTAAAGAAGAAAATCCTAAGCTTCATATAGGGCAGCAAGTTTCTTATTTAGGTACGTGGACTATAATAACATATATCTCTATGTGATAATAAGTTTAACAGTTCTCAAAGAAATTTAAAGTTTTGTACATTGTGACATGTATTTAGGTAAGTATTATGGGAGAATGGGGGGAAAAATTGAAAAATGTCGCTGTATATGTAAATCTTAGAATTGTGTACAAAATACGCTTAGACTTTTGTTCAGCCATGACAGTTTGGGGTATTAAACAACTTTCAGCAGCAATGGCGATGTATGGGTGTTAAATATTTAGCTGCATTAAGTCTAAAATTATTCTTGAGATACTTCGACGTCAAATTATTATAACAGAAAGGGAGCGAATACCCTTCTGCTAATTAATTTTATCAGCGTAAAATTAATTAGAGCTCTAATATCTTTATCTTTGTTAAAGAGTTTTGATTTAATTCCGTAGGAATATCTAATTTTTATGCCCAGAAGCCAAAAATATGCCATTGCTCCTCCTAGTTTTATTCCTCATTTTCTCAGTTTCTTTCACATGCCGTTGGTAATTAATTATCTCACGAGTGAGCGAGACAAGGATGCTACTAAAGAAATGGCGGATTGAGTTTTATTCCTGGAGAAATGGATTGGTTGCTTGGGATTTTCTGTAGTTCTTTCCCCATTAGTAGAATGCAGAAATATTAAAGTCCAGTAGTTGAAAATTCTCCAAGGGAAATATATCTTATGACAAATAATAATAATAATAATAATAATGCTGATGACGACGACGATGACGATGATGATGAGAGGGAGAAGGAATCGCCAGGCCAAAAAAAGGCTATGTAGTAACGCTCTTTCGGGTTTTTCTATAATTAATGATATAGGATTTTTCTCATGCTCTCATTAACAGTTAAAATTAAATAGAGAATTGATCTTTTTTTCATTGCATCTTAATGACATAGTAAGGGCGGAAAACAAATAATTCGTAACTTATCTTCCAAAGCTGCGTAACAGCAGAGATGAATTGAAAAATCGTTTTTGACCTTCGGTTTTACTTTCACACATAAATTGCTTTTGATTGCCCAGGTAACGTTATCCACCAGGTAATAATTAAGATAACGCAAAAAAAAAGCTTAACGGTTAAAAAATATATTTTTACAATTTAAACAATTTAAATATTTTAACTTAATAAATTAGTACAATTTAAATATTTTAATTGCAAAGTTACAGTTTTCCTTGACAGTTATCCAATCGAACAGTTACCTGATTGACAGAGCTTCATCTAAAATTCCTTCCTACAAACTAACAACTATAGGATTGTAAGAGTACGAAGTTTGTTATAACGGTTAAATAACGAAGCAGAATTTACCCAAGGAGAAACGAAATTTCCTTGAATCCTGGTTATAATGTAGTTGCTTGGTTTAAAAATCTACTTCAGGAAGTTTAATTTATCCCCTCTTTGGCTTTAAAACGATCAATCAAGCATACAATGGGCTTTATGATTTAAATATTAAATATCAAGCTATGGTATATTTTTACAGTTATAAAAGTCTTCAATTTTACACTTACCCAAATAGTATTCTGCTTCCTCCAACTAAGAACAGACCCATGGTCGAAGACATTCGAATAACAACTGAAGCCGCCTGATTAAAATAAATAAATAAATAAAATAGTAAATGGCACTGATGAGTATGATTGTTAGACTTTTTGTTAAGGTATTTATTTGTATATCACAATTTTAAGAATAAAATCTATCTTTCATTATATGCAAGGAAATTCTACTTTTTAAAAAAGATAATGAGAAAATATGATACACATACAGTTTTATATTTAATATAATGTTCTGTAAGTTACCAACATCAAGACTCGGGTCTCAGTTTTCCTGCTTGGGAATCTAATATAATAACGTCAATCCCTGAGAAGAATGCGTATTAAATGTACAAGCGTGGCTAAGTCCTAGGCCGGGTTTTAAAGAAGACAAATGAAGTGCTTACCTCAGGTGAACAACAAGAAGGAGATCAAACTACTTGCAATAAATTAGAAGGTTGTCCACCTGTGACCGAGCGACAAAAGCCTCTGAACTTTGGTATTTCTATCCGGGGCTCGGATCCCGGCCGAATGGGTTCATTGCGTTGGCGTTTTCGTGTTTTTCTCCGTGTGTAACATGGATACGAACCCGTTTAAATTAAAAAGTCCTCCATGAGGCATCCCTCCCTTTCGGTGTAGTGACTAATGGCGCAGCACGCAATCAAATTTAAAAAAAAAATTAGAAGGTCATTTAAAAAAGAAATTACACTTGTTAACCTTCAGCTTTAAAGCACATAGAAAAAGCGCCATTTTAAAACACTACATTTAAAGAAAATTTATAAGCGTTACATTCTTGATGCAGCATTTCAGTCTAAGTATTCTATAACATAATGCCAATTCTCTATTTTCATTCACAACGTCATTCACAGCTGTGAATGAAAATAGAGACAACCAGCTACATTTTGGTTTATTGTTGACTCAGAGTACTATCAAGGTAATATTATATAAAACTAAATAAATTAGTTTGCTTTATTTCCTCTTCTTTATAAATATCTTAAGAGCTGCAAAACAGTTTTTTATGTCATACTTGTTTCCATTATTTCTAAGAAGAATATTAAAAAATAGTTTGCGTTACTAAAGAATCCAGATGAATTAAAAACAACCAAATTTATGATATCTTTTTATTCTTAGAAGTGATTAGATTTATCTTCACACAACATGACAATTTATTGTTGGAACTAAAGCAAAGAGTCTAATTAGTAAGTAATTGCATACATGAAATTTGCTTAGAAAATCCATGTCGCCAGTATCAATGATACCTACCTATCTTTCCTTTAGGTACAAGCTCTTCGCTGAAATTTTAACAATTATAAAAAAGCATGTTGAATAACATACACTGGTGTGCAAAAATTAAGGACGAAGTCGAAAAATTAGCATATCAGCTGAACGAAGAGGCAGAGCGGACAGAAAGACCAATCAGGAGATTAAGCAAGGTGATGTACGGTAGCACATGCGCAGATATGCAGGTAGACGTAATGGGGGAGTATCTGAGTAGTATAAAGCATGTTGTCGATGTAAGATCAGTATTTCTGGCAAAGAGATTGCACGCCGTATAGCAGTTAAAATCACACCGAGTTGCTGCCTCAGCGAGAAATGGCGAATAATCAATCTGTTAGACGACAGTCGAATCATTGGGAAGTTGGAGGAAGGCCGTAGTGTGACAAGTGTGGCTGCAGAGTTCGGAATTGCTCACAGCATCGTTTCACGACTTTGGAGACAATTTCAAACTACAGCAACAGCTATCCGGGGGGTTGAGTAGTGGTCGTCCACGAAGAACCACACCCGCAGATGACCAGTATATTGCCTTAACAGCCAGAAGAAACAGGCGGCAGACAGCGGGAGAAATCGCTAGACACACGATACAGGCGACTGGACGACCGATATTGCGTTTTACCGTGGCCAGAAGACTGCACGGTGGTGGTCTGTTTGCACGACGCCCTGTACGGTGTGTACCTCTAACGCCTGCCCATCGGAGAAAGCGTTCTCTGTGGTGCCGGGAACACCGGAATTGAACAGAAAATGAATGGGGACGAGTACTCTTTACAGATGAGAGCAGATTCACTCTGAGTAGTGATTCTCATCGCATACTCATCTGGAGAGAGCGGGGAAGCCGCAATCATCCCTCGAACATCATTGAAAGGGACAGGTATGGAGGTGGCGGTGTTCTCGTTTGGGCAGGCATCATGCTTGGTAGTCGTACAGATCTTCACATCTTCGACGCAGGTTCAGTCAACGGGACCCGTTATTGTAACGAGATTCTTCTTCCATATGTGCGTCTTTTCAGAGGCGCTATGGGTCTGCAGTTCCTTTTCATGGACGACAATGCACAATGTCATCGCACAGTAGCTGCCGAACAGCTCTTAGAGAGTGAGGATATTGAACGTATGGATTGGCCGGCACGATCTCCGGATCTCAATCCCATCGAGCATGTATGGGATTTTCTAGGCAGACGCTTGGCAGCTCGTACCTTACCACCAGTAACGATTCCGGAGCTTCGATTGGCGCTGCAAGACGAATGGGCAGCAATGCCTCAACAACTCATGACACCCTCATTCTCAGCATGGGCAGACGCTGTGAAACCTGCCTAGCAGTCAGGGGGGGAGATCATATCCCCTATTAAAGACCGGATGTTTCTTGCTGGACACCCATCACAGGGATGTTTCGGCCTTCAGTCGCATCGCGCTCCATGCTACTTTTTCAATAAAGCTTCTTTTTATCCCTCTGATTTCTCTTTTAGTAAGTGTTGCTTACATTACTCATGTCCTTACGTATTGGGGATCTTACGGTATTAAATGTGTTGATTTGGAAAGCTTTTGTACAACGTTATATTGAAAAAACCGTCTCGTCCTTAATTTTTGCACACCAGTGTATTGCCCCAAATTACGCTATTCATCTAAAAGACTTTTCAAAGACTATCTTTGTAGTCTCCATGCTACTTTTCTGTCTAGATGTCTGCTATGTCTAGAAGTTTAACTCAATGTCCTACAGACTGATTGCTAGATTGATAAGCGAGTTATCGCTCTAACCTGAATTAAGATTACAGAGTTTTAAGAAAGTAAAAATAACCTTTTAATTCAATTCTTGTAATTACTAGAAGGGACTGTTTGTGCTAAAGACGAAACTCCTCCACTTCCGGGTATTTAAAGTAACGTAAAACTGAAAGTTGGCGTAAACTAGTTGACATTTCATCACAAGTTGAGGAAAATAATTAATAAGGAAAATAATAAAGTTTAAATTTGAGACTACACACAAAACAGTCTACTTAAGCTGGCTCAAGTAATTAAGGTGCGCTTTTAAGATGGCCTAGCAAAATGGTTGATGCTGGAACAAACTTTGGCTGAGCTGATGCTGCAAGGCTCACTTTGTAAATGCTAAGTTATTGTTGAACGTGAAGAATCTTAAGAACTGATAAGCGAATAATCGCTTGAGTTCATGTGACAAGAAACAACAAGATGAAAGGGTAACCTTTATTATTCAAATAAGATTTAACAGAACTCCGTCTTTGAGTGTACAATAAAAGCCGACACTTGGGCTTGAACTTAAGAGGCTAAGAAGTAAACTAAACTAATTTAAACCTAAAGAAATATAGCCGAAGCTATCAAGATTCTAACCGAGTTGGCCCCTTAACGCTAATTGACTGCGAAGCTATCAAAGCCCTGAGTACGGCCGAGCGCAATAACAGCTTTGAGAGAGAGTAGCCAAAAGGCGGACGCGCGCTAATCAGAAACTCTGATTCTCTCTAACTCAGCAAGTAAAACTTCGCGGTTAAATACCGTTCTTCCTCAAAAACGTGCGAGTTGTGGGATGAAGATCAGAGGTTTGGAATGAAAGAGTTAGCGCGACATCCCTTGTTGATATCATTCCAGTCTTCTTTTGACAGCGTAATCTTAATTAACTTTAATATTTTAAACCTTTTTGAAAATTTGGAAATAGAATTTAGAATTGTAGTAACAATATAGAAAAGGCAATGAAAAATTAGCTTCTGAAATTAAAACAGCTGGTTGACATTTCACCACAATTTGAGGAAAATAATACTTTGCTACAAAATGACTTAGGTAATAATGATACAGCTCTTATGAGGAGCAATGCGTGAAAGCTTAAAAAGTGCCCGAAGCATTTGAAAAAAGTTTCTTCTAAAGGTAGGCAGTTGGTAAATTTTTCCATCAATACCCCTGCCAAATTTCAGGGAACGAAATGGTTTCCAGTGCAGCTGGCATGTTTTCCATTCATACATGTATAGCTGCACAACATCGGTCCTTACCATCAAAACGTCTTGAATTAATGAGCAAGGCAGCTTTAAAAATTGTGCTTTAGTTGTTTAATGCTTTTATCAGTCCGATAATAATACAGTGACTTCAATAAAAAGATAACTAATGAATGAGTAACTTCTAGTGTTTTGCGGTAAATGTTGAAAAAGTAATTAAGAACACAAGTGTGTTGCTTAATAAACAAGAACAAGTTAAATATGTTCCTTTAGAAACCACAGAAACTGTTACATTTCCTGAGGAGAAAGGCAGTATGAGAACTCAAATGAAAACTGAAACTTGCGTTTCATTTCCTACCGACTGAATTTGTCACCGACTATCAACAAATTTGTCAGAAAAGTGCTGCATTATTGAACTTACGGACTTTAAGTATACAATAATGCAGTTAATCCGCAGTTAACATCATACGCTTTGTAATTCCTAACGAGAATTACAGTGGGTGTTACTTTTTTACCTTGGTAAGTTTTGTGGACAAGCAGCCTTTCGTTTATTTGAAATGACCCAGCGCAGGGACAGAACTGCAAGATTTTAATCACATAAAAAAATCAAAGATTTTAATAGAATGTATCTACTTACATACAAATTTTTCCTTTTTTATAACTACTATTATTAATACGGGATCGCGCATAATGGTATTCGCCAAAGGGAGGGATGCTCCGTAGGGGACTTTGAAGTAAACTGGCTCGGATCCACGTTAAACGTGGGAAAAACCACGAAAACCCCATGCAGCCAGCCTGTCCGTCAGGATACGAACCCCGGATCGAATTACCAGTGTTCAGCGGATATGCCGC